GACGCGAGTTGGGAAAGTGTTGCGTGAGACATCCGGTTGTTTGCCAACCTCTGCTCCGAAGAAGCCTCTGGTCGGTTAGTAGGCATCTCTTTGGGTCCATGCGAAAATGCAGGTGGGTTTTCAACAGGAGCGGGTGGAGTGCGTGGAGGGAGCTGCTCTTCGACTGGCGGGCCTTGGAGACGGTCGAGATTTGGGTCGCTTCCCGAGCTGGTGCTCTCAGCGATAGGAGCGACCGCCGGGACCCCGCGGTGGATCAGATCTTGAGAAGAAGAGTCAGGTGAGCTCTCAATTAAAGATCCACGGCCTGGTCGGGAGGCGGTGTTGAAGCCCGTGGTATCAGAAACCACGCGGTTGTGATACACCACGGGTGAGCCCTCATTTTGGGGGACTTCATGAATAACAGCCTCTGTAGAATTGTTAAATTCAGGCTTGTTCTCGAGACCAGAGAACTGGCGGCGAGTAGAGTCCATAGGGATATCACTGTTTCGGCCAGACATCGAGCGATAGCGAGGTCTCACGCTGTTCACGCTATTGGTTCTGCTTCTGCCGGACGAAATTCGGCGCTGCGTTGCCTCTTTGAGCTGTTTTCTCCACTGAGCTTCGCTCCATTCTTGGCTTCCCGGAGTTTGAAGAAGACTGGCAATGTCCAGCACATCAAGATAGCCGTAGCGTCGCTCCTTAGGGAAGGCAAACATGATGCTCTTGATGTGATTAGTGTCTGCCACCAGGCGAGTAGGACGGCCATAGAGATTGAAAGTGTCGAATGTCGGGAAAAGGAAGCGCAGCATCATCTCGAATCCCGAAACCGCAGCATGTGGCTCAGGCATGACAAAAACAAGTCCTTCTGAGGAAGAATCAGGCGAATGAGTGGTGATCCGTCCTTCCAACTTCACCAGGGTCGATGCATCAATTAGAGCCTTAGATTGTGGGTAAATCGCATATGCTGAGTAAACCTGGGTAACCGTTGCAATGGGAATCGCCTTTTTCGTCTTTTTCGTATCGTAAAACTTGATGTTTCCGGTAACAGGCATTGACAAGCGGTCATATGCCGATTTCTTCATCACTTTCCGCGCTTTTTGGAGCTCCTTTTCGTCTGGCGGGCAGATCACAAACCAGCACCGTCTCCACGGGGTTCCAGCACCAAACCGCACACGCGCCCAATCTTCGTACTTGAATTTGGTGGGTGCCAGGATAGAGTTGATTCCGTTGAGATTTCGTCCTTTCGCCGCAATCAAAGAACCGGTGTAAGCTTCGTACAAAGATGTGTGCTCGAACATCGAGAGACGAATCGCCGCAGTCCATTGGGTCAGTGAGTTGAAAGAATTGAAATGTAAGAGGTATCGATTTTTGCCCGCGGAAGAAAGGCTGAGTACGTTCTTCAATGGTTGTATAGCTCCGTTTCGGATCGGAAGAGTCTCAATCTGCGAGGACCTAATGAGTTCACGTCTGAATGTTCTGGTAGGTTAAGGCTCACCATCTCAATAGTCGCATCGGCCAAATTGATAAAGGTCGCCGGTACCTCTTCTCCACCTGCTGCGTCCAGCGCAGCGACATCCCATAGTGAAAGAACAGTTCCGACCAGCTGTGCGTAGCATTCCACCCATTGCCGATCAGCACAAGGCCGTCCGTCTGACTCGTGTTAGCCCGTCTTGCCCCGCAAGGGGGCGGGGGATCACTTACGAGTATCCAGATCATTCAATTTTAGAAAGTAGCCTTCCTGGTAGACCTTGTTCGTGTGGATATTGAGGAATGAAAAGATCGGCGATAGCTCCGGTGGGGTATCGTCCGCCTGGTGCATAAGAGGCGGGTTGCGTGAGAAGGTCATGGATGCCGGTCGCGATCCATTTCCGCCTCTTGGCCCAGAGCTCACAGGGGATGATTCGGTCGGGGGAGATGGTGTATCGGGAGGCGTTTGCCACCGGGGTGGTGTATCGGACGGAGTTACGTTGGTCTCTAGCGTAACGTTGCTCGACGACCTTTTGCTTTCTTTAGCAGAACCATTGTTCTTTGAGCCCCCAAAACTGGATATAAACGAGCGAACTAGTAAAACGCAAGGGAGAGTCAATAAAGGGCTCTAGTGGACTTCCCGGCATACCCGGAGAGGATCGACTTACCACGCGAACGGCCCATGACGTCGGAATGTGATGTGCCAGACAAGAACCTCAGTAGTCTTTTGAGTAGTACCCCTCACTGAGTTAGACTGTGAAACGTGCTGGAAGTAAGGAAAGAGACTGGGGCGTGGTGGGATTTAAAAGGAAACTGTCCGAGGCAGGTCGATTGCGCTGAACGAGAGACTGTCAAATAGTGACTGCGCCAGGACCGAATTAGGTGAGAAAGGTCAATCCATAAAATCCACACGAGGGTGAGCCTGGAAGAATAAGAATGAAGAGAATGAGTTGGGTTCGGAGTTTAGGGAAATCGAGCTCTGCCAAGGAAGATGACGTTACAGGCTAGGTACGTCTTTCGCTAATCACCGGGATTAACGATCCTTGATTTTTTTGGTTAATTTTCAGAGACAAAAAGAGAGAGTTAGAGAGAGAGATTGGAATAAATTGAAATAGAAATAATAGGAGGAAGAGAAGAGGCAGAGAGATAGAAAGACAAAGACCAGAACTACGGTGGGTCATCTGGGCAAGTCGAAGAGCCAACTAAACATTCCACGCTACACCAATTATATATAATAATGTATATTATACTTATTTATTGTTTCGTGTGACACCTGAAAAGCCGAAGCCAAGCCATTTTCTGCTTTGCTTTTCATATTTGAACTGAGACCTTTCAACAAAGGGTTTTTATTGGCGTCATCCTGGGCCCTTCTTTGGAGTGTCGGTGGAGAGACAAGACTATAAGTAGACTAGTATGCATGGATAAATATAGCCAAATGTCTTACGTTAGTTAACCACGGAGGAACTAGTATAAGGAACTAGTATAAGGTATCTTATATTCCCCTGGTACTAAATATCTCCTCTTCAACTTTCCCCCTTAATTCTATACGAATCCCATTGTAGCCAAGGCTCTGGATGTGAAAATGAAAGTGAACTTGGCTTGGCAAATTCGGGGCAGTTCCATTGCCACTTTGACTCCCATACGTTGCCTTTGCCTTTCTACTCCACAGATAATCTGGTCTTGAACACGCGTATGACCCTTCACCGCCAGGGTACCCTGTTTAGGTCCACATACATTAACCTTGGAACATACAGTTTAGGCTGTAAGTAAATAATCTTGTTCCCCGTTTCTATTTTACCCCACCGGGGCCTGGATGCAGTTCAGAATTCGCACACGGGCCTTTTCACTCCTGCATTAGGGCAGTCCACAATCCTTACTCAGATAAACCTTGCAACCCATATGGTGCTGGATAGTATTATAATACCTCGGTACGGAAAACGGAATACTTTGTACTCCGTACACCGCAGCCTTGGCATAGATCAAATGGATCCAAGATTTTCTGGCCTGCAGCATAGGATCAGCGTGGCTCCATGAAGATCCGAACGCGTCATAGATACTTTAAAATAATGCAGATCGGCCATGTGGCATCTGGAGATCTCTTTTTCATCCAACGACACCATCCAGGGTTAACCTTCCCATCTATGTCTGTTCGGGGAAATAAGGTTATTTCAAGGTAGCTAGGTACTTTTCCTTTTTCGTATCTTACAATATTCAGATTGATACGAAGTGCTTTATGAAAATAAGTGGAGCATCCGATGCACTGCTAGTTTCCTGGTTAGCAGCTTGTTTGTGCATTTTTCTAGGAATAAGACTATATAAAAAGCCGCACCGTCCTCTATCTCTGGGAATGGTTCTAGCACTGGAAGAACCAGTACGGCAGTGTATAGCCGCCAGTGCGCCATATCGTATTTTGCCAGCAAAGCACCTCATAAAGATTAGTATATGCGTATTTTATTAACACTGGAAATTGATAGAAATTAATAGTGTAGGGAATGACACTATAGAAGTTGATATCGTAGGGATTGAGATAGTATAGACAAGAATAGTCGGCCGCTTATAAGGCCGTAGTCTGGTGGTCTTCTTAGGTAGTCTTCTCCGATAGTCTTTTTATATCTCTTTTTAGTGGTCTTTTTGAGTAGCCTCCTTCGGTAGTCTTTTAGATACCTAGTTATGTAGACATTTTCGCCCTTCTTAGTTTATTAGGTAAATAGTAGAAAAGGGCCAAAAAAAAGGCTTAATTTGTAAAAATGGACTCTTACCCTATATCTATACTTCTTCCCAGCCCGTAACGGCCTCAAAGGGCACTGGTATCCGTAGTCTGTCTAAGTCTAACAGTTGTGGAAATGCTTTTGTCTAAACGAGTTCTATACTATGTACACACATGACTTTGGAGTACATTCGCGCTTTCCACATTTTCCTCATACCATCCCCACCCAGGGTCTTCTCACTTTCCCAATGCCTCGCCCTCCATCGCTCTTCCCCTTCTCGGTTCTTAATTCGTCAGCGTTCGTATGGTCATCTCAGTGCAAGTGAAAGGCGGACAAGCACGCAGTATATCTTCCTCTTCCATCCTCCCCTACATAAGACTATAGGAGTCTGAGATCCTTCATTGCCTGGTCCTTCTAGTCTTCCCGTTTCCCTCTGGCTTCTTTCTTGGCTGTCGCCATTGGGCTGTGGTTCAACCGGCATTGACTGCTCACACCCAATTTTTTCCCCTACAGGGTCAATGACTACGATTCCTCTCTGACTCTCGAATAATTTTCTAGACCCAGACCGGAAGCAAAAGCGTGGAGATCTTTACGTCCCTCGAACCCACGAGCATCGATCAAGATGCGCAGAAACACAATCCCACAAAAGTTAGCCCAGGCTAGCAATGATGAAGACCTACCACATATTCTCGCTGCATTGGATCTCCATCAGAACTATGCACCGATCTCACCCTCTTCAATTATTCACAGGGCCCCTGGACTTTCGCCCAAAGAGCAGATAGCACGATTCCTTCATTGGAGAGCTGAGCAGGGTGGTAAACTCGATGTTTTGCGGGAAGAAGTCTCATGTTTCGTTATCGGCTTCGACCTAGACGATTTACCAGATATGATAGTTCCTGTCTTCCTGGTTGGCAAACTAACACTCTTCCCGGATCCTTCGCGCATCTTCTTTACTCCCTGTTTGGTCCATTCGAAGAAGTGGCTAAACTTCAGCAATCCCTAAACAACATCCCAGAATATTTCAATGGACACAGACACCGAGCAATATTTGCAGACCGAATACGGAATATCAATCGCAAGCCAAAGGACCTCAAGTGCGGTGCTAGCTTCGCAACTCAGCTTCCGCCGTCCCAGGACGGCGAATGGTGCAGGAAATGCGGCGAATTCTTATTCTCTCGCGAGTTACGGATGCTCAGAAACTTAGTGGAACCTCTACGTGATACATCCAAGCCAATTTACTGGATCACCGACCGAGTCGAGAGAGCTCTAGAAATGGACAATGGTTTCCTGGCCTCACAGGAATTGATTGCAGATTTCAAGAAGGATCTCTATGAAACCGCGTGGAATCGCCGCAAGAACTGTTTGCAAAAGCCCCACTCATTTCCTGCAAATGGACTGACTTTCTAAACATCTCTAGATACAATCTATGACCCCCTTCCTGCCTGGGATGAACAATAAGAGGAAACAAAACAGCTCAGGGAATACCGCCTTCAAGCCTGCAAAGGAACACTGTACTGGGACCGCTGGCCCCCCGTCGAAAAGCAGTATGACAAGATAGCACTGGCCGCAAAGCAATCCATCATTGACAACGATCTGAAAGCCGCTGAAAGCCTTGGATTCCTGCCACCTGAGAACCCCCAACCACCAGCGACCCTGATCTCAACCCAACCAGGTATCGAGCTCGCATGCATTACCGACCTTGACCACTACGACGACCAAATCATGATCGTAATCGTCCGGATCAGCCAATGGCTAGCTCTTGCCCGCGGCTTCCCAGCAGTCCACCTGTTCTGCGACATCGTCCGGCTCTTTACCATCTACGGTGTGGACGTGGCAAATGCCGTACAAGTGGAGTTCTGCAAGCAATTAACTGGCTTGCCGTCATTCCCCTGGGACCCTGTTGAATTGCCGCCGCTGTTTCCCTGCCTGGAAAATGAGATCGAGGCACACGAGCTCTGTCCCCAAGAAATCCGGAGTCAAAATGCCCGGAACTGCTGGGCGGAGCAGCAGTTGATGATGTGCCGCTCGCTTTGGTGTAGGGATGATCATGCCATTGCCTGGGACTACCCACTGCAGACCCTTGTCTGGGAGGAGAAGGAGGATGGCCGGGTGCTTGCGCTTAGATCTCCTCCTTTTCAGGACCATGCTAGACATATTCCGTGGGGTTTGGTTGATATGTTGAAGGAAGGGTTGTGGATCGGTGAGTATGAGGATGACTGGCTGGCGCAGTTCGTGGGGTTCAACAGCGAGTACTCAGATAGTTGCTCGGCCAATTTCTGCGGTGGAGAATGAGGGAATAAGAGGGGGCAAAGGATGGGGAGGAGATACTGAGAGGAAAGAAAGACAGCTGGATACAGAAGGCATATATTCATACAGTTGCATTAAGAGCTGGAATAGAGCCCGACTTACGTAGGATACACACAGGCCTCACATGTAGTGTTTAGTAGTTCGCGGCAGGGTATAGCCGCCAGTGCGCATATTAATTTTGACCGTCTTCACACTGCTAATCTACTATTACCTCCTTCGTACACATTCTAGTAATTAATTTCCACAATATCTTAACTCTATAAAGTTTATGTAAAAGTTCATTTTTGCAAAATAAGCCTTTTTTGGCCCTTTTCTACTATCTACCTAATAAAATAAGAAGGGCGAGAAAATGTCTATATAACTACCTAGATACCTAAAAAGACTACCTAAGAAGACCACGGCCGTATAAGCGGCCGACTATTCTTGTCCACAGCAGCTCAATTCCTAGGATATCAACTTCTATAGTGTCATTTCGTACACTATTAATTTCTATCAATTTCCACATTCAATAAAATACACATATACTAATTTTATGAAATGCTCTGCAGGCAAAATACGATATGGCGCACTGGCGGCTATACACTGCCGTAGTAATTCAAGATATATCATGCAACCATTGGCAACCAGATCAAGGTAGGAAACGCCAGTTATAATAAGACAAGGGCACCCCTAGTCTACGGGCCTGATGCTATGCTGTCGAAAAGACTAGATAATTGATCGGTATTAAACTTGAATTCAGTTTGAAGCTGGTCCTTCATCGATTAAATTTGTCAAGTCATACATACATGAAGTCAACATGCTGTCGAGGAATACAGACCTCCAAGAAAAGTCCATGGGCAGGCATCAAGAACGCTACATACATGTAATCATAATATCGTAGAAATCCCCTTCATCGTTCTATCGCATGGTAACCATTGACACGGTCAACCAGTGCCGTCTGATTACGGCTGGGTATCATAGAATCAATATTGCATCAAATAATCAGAATCCAACCCCGGCTGACTGGGGAGATAAGACGAATCGTTCGACTGCGACCCGAAAGCAACATCCGAGGAGTGGTCTCCTGCCGCGTAGTAAGACTGACCATCCTGATCATATCCAAGACCATAGATACCCAGCGAGCTGATCGCAGGGCCGGTTTCATCGGTAAGCAACGCGCGCTGCAAGAAGAGGTTTTGGACCTCGTCTTCGGTGCAGTTGTGTTTGGTGGTCATGTGTACCCACAAATCGTAGTTGCGATGGAAACGATGTGGGCACGACTCCGGGTAAAAGCAAGCGATCTGTCGTCCTGTTTCCTCGGCGTAGCCTCGGCCCGTGAGAGCCGAAAGAGTGGAAACGGAATTCTGCGGCGGCTTTTTGCCCGCCTTTTTTTCCTTACGCCGTTGTCTTGCACTCGGGTGTCCCAAGTGTGCACAGCGGATGTGTTCTATGAGGGTCGGCTTGTTGCCGTAGCGCTTGCCGCAACCGACACCATCCCACCCCTCCACCTTGTTGTTGTTTGAGAGATCGGTTTCGCCGCAGACGAACTGTCTTTCGCCTTCGTGGACTGTGCGAGTATGGACATTTAGGTTGCCTTGCTTGGTGAAGCTGCGGTCGCAGCCGGGGAAAGTGCAGGGGAATATCTTTCGTTCTTCAAGAGTGACGTCGCCATGGGCTATCTCGATGTGGCGACGTAGCCCCCGTGCTGTGGAACAGACTAATGGACACTCGGGACATGCGGGGGGGTGAACAATTCGAATGTGGCTCTGTAAACTGGCATACGTGGGGAATGATATATCCTGTCTTGCATTGTCGTCGGCCATATCTGATGATTGAGCTTCCATCTTTTCGGCACATTCTGCGCAAGTGAATCGCTTCTCGGAATGGACCCTGCTCTGGTGGGTCCGTAGATTGCCGGCCTTGTCAAAAGCCATGGTACATTTCTCCTTGGTAGTCGGGTCCACATATTTACATGGGAATGGCTTCTGGTTCAAGTGGACAAGCATGACATGTTGCTGTAGTGTCGAGTGCTTCCGGAATGTCTCGTCGCAAGGTGGGTACTCGGTACAGCGGTACTTGTCATGTCCACCGTGGGTAGCGATGTGCCGGCGAAGCCGTACCCCGTTCACAAATCTCTTCTCACAACCTGGGTAGTCGCAAACGAAGTCACGAACGCCTGTATGGGCACTCTTGATATGATGTTGAAGATGGGAAGAGCGTAAGAATGCCTTGTCGCAGTCCTCACACTTGAATATTCTTTCGTTGTTGTGTGCTCGTATATGCTCCTGGAGTCGAGCCGGACGATCGTAGGACTTACCGCACCCCTCGAACGGGCAACTTAGCATCTTGCGCTCGGATGGGTGTATCTGTCGGGAAGAGGTGGCCGAGAATGGGGTCGCCGGAGATTCATCCATGTCTTCGCTCATCGAGCTTGGAGTACCAGGAGCCGAGTACTCCGCATCCGAGTGAGTCTCCTCATAGATCAAGTCTGTAGAATCGTCAGTAACTGGATCACTTTATCGGATGTTATCAGAGGACGTAAACTTACCGGAATTGTCCAGGACATTCTGCTTCTGGTGTCGTTTGGGGGTTGCGACACCCTCCGATGAGGCCTTTCGTTTTATGGCCATCATGAGGAGCTTTGAAAAGGACAATTGAGAAAGGAACAGGATCTCAAGGCTCGAGGAAGTTCGGACATGAATGCCAAAACTAATAATTTTTATTTTTGCCAGAAAGGCGGTGACAGTCAACACAGAGGAAGTTTTTCCGCTCCTAGGATTTTTAGCATCAAATCCCACCTCGACCCCCCGAGTTGTCTCTCATACCTCTGGGTCTGTCATCGCTCGCTTCGCCTACAAATACTTCGCTCCTTTACAGGTTTAACTGTCATTATGTCTGACTACGGCCACGACGACGACGTCGAAGAGACGTAAGCTACCTCCCTTCACCAAATTGCCCAGGGACGAGGCGCAAAGGAGCTTCGCTTCCATTTTGCCTCCAGGCAGCTTCACAATGTGTTCGCACATACTTGTATAAACCCATTTTCTAACAATGCGGTGTGCGCAGCTTCGACTACGAGCCCGGCGAGGATGTGTTTGATGAGGAGCCGGAGGAACAAGAGGGTCTCGAGGGCGAAGAGGGGGTTGAGGGAGAAGATTACCCCACCACCAACGGAGAAAATGTCGTTGTCTCTGGCGATCCCAATGCCGGATACGCAGGAAAAGTGATGGAGCAGTCACGCGAGAAGAAAGTACCCAATGACCAGCGCACCACCACCCCGTACTTGACCAAGTACGAGCGCGCGCGTGTTCTCGGTACCCGTGCCTTGCAGATCAGGTACGTTGCTTTTGATACAGACGATTGCGCATATTTTCCGTTAGCTTGGGCTTGCTGACATTTGGCATAGTATGAACGCCCCCGTTCTTGTCGACCTCGAGGGTGAAACCGATCCCCTGCAGATCGCCATGAAGGAATTGAACCAGAAGAAGATTCCCCTCATCATTCGCCGATACCTGCCCGATGGATGGTAAGCAATATCCCTGTCGAATGAGTGGTGAGCCAGATCTAACCATGTTCGACTTTAGGTATGAGGATTGGACATGCGAGGAGCTGTTGTAGTGGTCAAAACGGTATCAGCCGTTCTCTACTGAGGCTGTTTTCCATCTTTTGCTTTTCTTTGGGTTTAAGCATAGCGTTTGGAGTTCTGGGATTCGAAGAACCCGTCAAAAAAAAAGGAGACTTGGATGTCCTTGATGAAACATGGACACCAATGAGGCTTTGTATATGAATCTAGAACGGAAAAAACATATCCAAAAATAAATTTGACTTGTTTATCTTCTTGCATATACATACTTGGACTTCGTAGAAGAAGCAATCATAGCGCATATAAGCCACGCGCGAATTGTCGGGATCCCAATAGCCTTCGGAAATTTGATATGCTTCATATCACAATATATTCAGGTCACAATTCGATACCGATGCATATCCTACTGATATACTACGGATATTCACGGTAAAAAGCAGATTCGGCTATTCTCCATGTCCCAAGGTTGCATCCAGCTAAGCTTATGGATCTCAGGCCAGTTTCGGCACCTGGGGAACCCATTTGCCGACAATAAGCATTGATACTTTTGCAAAGATTGACAAAACAAGGGTAAAATATGATGTTTCAATAGATCTCAAGTATATAGAACATATTCAAGTCGAACTATACCAACTATATATCCTATTCTAGAAAAACCCCTGGTTATTTTATTGTATCAACGCTCTACATAATTTCTCGAATGGCCGAAAGGCCGAGGTGAGCCCCGCTTAGGGCTTTCTACGAAAATATTTCAAGTTTATATCATTCATTGCTTCCATCGTCTTGACTTTATATTCACGGCTAAGAACTTTTGGACTTTGTTCCTGAATTCTACACGCTCTCACCCGTGAGGGACATCTATTTGACCGACACATGAGACAACATGGGGTCAACTAACTTGGATATAGAGCAAAAAGTCGCTGATTCCCCGGCTCAGGAAAATGCCAACAATATATCACAGTCTCCAGAAAAAGAGTCCGAGTTGACATTCGACACGGGGTTACATACATGGCTCCAAGCTTTGGGCTCATTCTTTCTCTTCTTCAATTCATGGTAACGAATACATGTTCGTCGATATAAAGATCATACTGCTAATGAGTTGGAATAGGGGCATTATCAATACATGGGGTGCATATCAAACCTATTATGAGCGAGAGTTGCTCGTCGGTACTTCATCATCAACCATTGCCTGGATTGGATCACTGCAGTCTTTCCTTCTGATGATGGTTGGAGTCATTACAGGTCCCCTGTTTGACGCTGGCTATTTTCGATCGCTCATCATCTTCGCTGCATTCCTGCTACCCTTTGGCTTGATGATGACCAGTCTTGCCACAAAATATTGGCACCTGATTCTTTCCCAGGGCCTTTGCATCGGAATCGCAGCAGGCTGCCTTTTCGTGCCCTCCGTTGCCATCCTACCACAATACTTCCGCCGCAAGAGAGGCCTCGCCAACGGCTTGGCTGCCAGTGGCAGCAGTATCGGTGGCGTTATCTACCCAATTATGTTCGATCAGTTGCAGAAAAAGGTCGGTTTTGCCTGGGCTACGCGAGCACTTGGGTTTGTCTGCTTTGGCACAATTTGCGTTTCTATCAGCATCATGCGCTCACGCTTCCAGCCAAAGGAGAAGCGCAAGCTCTACCAGTTGTCTGCCCTAAAGGAGCCAGCCTTTACTATCTTCGCCATTGCCATGTTCATTGGCTTCTTGGGTTTCTACAACTTCCTTTTCTATGTGCAGTCATACGCAATAGAGACAGGCATTGTAGACTCCAACCTAGGATTCTACCTACTCTCCATGCTAAACGCCGCCTCAACCTTCGGCCGTATTGCGCCCAACTTCCTCGCCGACCACGTTGGCCCTTTGAATATGCTCACACCCGCCGTGACCATCACTGCCATCCTGGCCTTTGTTTGGATCCGTGTTCATACCGTACCCGGCATCATCATCCTTGCCGTCTTCTACGGCTTCTTCTCGGGTGGGTTTGTGTCTCTGCCGCCTGTGGTCATGGCGAGCATGACTCCGGACGTGCGCAATTTGGGCACACGCTTGGGCATGGTCTTTGCGATCACTTCTATAGGCCTGTTGATCGGTACCCCCATCGGCGGTGCAATCCTGGCCGATACAAACCAATTCCTTGGAGTTCAGCTTTTCACTGCTTGCTGCCTCACCACCTCTGCGGTTCTTATGACCTGCGTCAGATTTCTGCGCTCCGGTCTTAGGTTCCATGTCAAGGCTTGAGTCTAGACTTAAGTCTTCTCTGCTGCCTGCTGAAATGTCTCAAATATACCCACTGCCCGAGAGCTTTCAACCTTGTTCCAGCTATTTCTTGGCATTAACATGTGCAACGATACATACTGTTAGCTTCATCATTCGGTCCTCATTTGCATGTTACATTACCTCCCAGCAACTCATTTTGCTTATATCCAGTCAATGGGAGACACGGCGCACTTCATGTTGTGGAGGGAAAATGGCGATAATCATATGTCTCATTCTATACAAGAAAATATTCATCAAAGCCCCAGCCCTACGTAAGCCCTCCATGCTATGAGAACTACTCGAAGAAAAAGGCGAGGGGGCAATAGAAAAGAATGCCATCCATGGCTGCTTCGATAAACACCACAAAAAGAAGGATGGTTTACATCACATCCTCCGGTCCGACAGGGAAGTTCTCACCATTTTCTCTCACATGCTCGAGCTTCTTATCTCGACTGCACGGCTTGCGCATATCGAATGCATCCTCCCCAGTGTCCGACATCCCAGATGGATCATCACTATAATAATTAACCACCCGCCGGAAGACTGAGTATCTGTAAATATACATGTCAGCGATCAATTCGGCATTCGCGCATTTATATTGATTCGCTCACCCCATTCCTTTGTACATGTCATACGCAACTTTATTTCCAGCGCGGACGTACAGATCCACAAACCAGGCGTCATTGCTGTCAGATCCCCGCTCAAGCTGCTCAGTTAACCGGCGTGCAAATCCGAGACGGCGCCAGGCTGGTGCGACAGTCAGGACTGTGATGTGTCCGTGCCATGGAGTGAAGTGCTCGGAGTGGCGCATTGCAGGGTGTTGCTCTTCGAGCTTTCCCATAACTAAAAGGAATATGTCAGCTATATTCCATGATATTTGAGGAGAAAGTGCCAAGTTATGACTAGAATGGAACATACTATAACCTACAATGCCGGCCTCATGGTCCTTCACGGTGCTGAACAATGAGGGCCATTTGTTCAGGTAGTTCAGGTAGAAGCCGAGATCATAATTCTCAGTGAGGGGATCAAGGTTTGTTAGATTAAGATCCAGCAGGTCCAATGGGGACATACGTTCAATAGAACTCATCTTGATATCGTCAATGATGAGAATGATAATGTGGGGTTTGATGCTCTTATTCTTTTTTTGCCGGGCGGTGACGGGTGGAAGTCGGCGGTGAGGGTTGAAGTTGAGGTGTCGGTGTTGTACCCCTCCTGCATCCTGGTGATGCAGTCACTCATTAGTTGAGAAGTCGGTCTTTTCGGGCGTGCTATATATCAATTGATCTTAGCTCCGTCTTTGTTTTGTCGCTACCGCGCTATACTACGATATTGACTTAGGTCCGGAGCTATCGGAACATCCCAACTCGGACGTAATCAACAACTGTCGCTCACCTCCAGCTGGACTACAATCGCTTGTTTCTTTTCTGTGGCTATATTGCCCTAATCCAGCTCTTAGAGTTTCCCAATAAAGCTTCCACCAATCCAGGAGGTCCCGTGTGATACCTCCAAACGATCCAATGCCCCTCCCTCCGTCTCCCCTGAAACTCTCACACCGCTACCCATCGGCCACAGAGGACTCACCCATCTCCCCCGGGACAACTGGAAATACTTTTGAACTTGCAAGCCCCCTGTCACCGCGAACACCCCGATTGTCTGCACCCCCGTCTCCCGTCGCGTCCCGCCATAACTCTAACGCCATGAGTGGGTCCCACCGAGAATCTGGAGATTTCTCTGGCGCCGCTGATGCGGGCGGAGGAGGACTGGGAAACCTGGCCGATGAACTAGCCGATGCATGGGAAGAAGAGGAAGATGGATACGGATATGCGTCAGGCCAGGAAGCTAGCCGCGCAGGGTCACAGCAGATGGGTCACAGTGATGGAGAAGATATGTATATGCAACAAGTGCGCAGCGTGCGCTCCCGGTCACCTTCCATCTCACCAGAAAGGGATTCACTCCATCCGTCAAGGAACAAACACCGTGCAAATCATTTGCGGCAGCACCGCCGGCAGGAGTCGCAATATGATGGCTCGGATTATGGCCCCGACTCGGATCTAGAGGAAGCGGATATCTCCCCCGCTCTGGAGAGCCAAATGGCTGAAATTGAGTCTCTCGTTCGGCGGGGTATAGAGAATAACGGAAGTGAAAATGACCGTGTCATCCAGCGGACGGTTGAGTCATTGAAAGATCTCGGTGGACAAAGTGGGATTGAGAACAGTGCCATGAGGTAAGTCCACCAAGTACAACACAATTCCACCGATCCCCGATAGCTAATCTCTAATCACAGACTTATCACCGCTCATTCCTCAATCACATCACATCTCACTCACCAAACTCGCGCCCTCCAATCCCTCGTGCACCCACTCCTTTTCTCTCCATTCCCCCTCCTTTCCGAAGACGCCATCGACTCTCTCATGCCTCTTATCGACGAAGGCTTATTGCCAAATCTCCCATACCCCTTCCCCGAACAGCAGCACCAAGACTCCCAATCGACTCCTCAGTCCTGCGCACACAACCCCCTGGCCTCTCTCCAAGCCCTCATCTCGCAAACAGCCGACATCACACATACACTTCGCGGCTTAAGCGATACCCTCTACGAGTCGAGACAATTGACTTCAACGGCTTCCCGTCGGTTACGCTCTGCGCGAGAACTCGTCACTGACATCAGGCGCGAAGAAGAGAGCCGCGAAGAAGGATCGCGGTGGATCGAGCGCGGTGAATGGGACCGCAGGCTCAAAGACCGAGAGGCTGGCAAAGTTTGCGGTGATGTAGTCAGTGGCTTTGAAGCTGTCTGTGGTGAATGGCGGGAGAAGCTGTTTGGGGCTGCCGAAGTGGCTGCTGCATAAGTTTGATGTTGATGTTGATGTTCATGACTTGATCATTTACGCGATTCTGTTTCCCAAGGTCGGGTCGGGACACTCTAGACTTCTTTCTTTTATTTTTTTTATTCTTTTGTCAGATATCCATATTGATCTTTACTAGGTCATCCTTCATTAAGTTGTTCATATTGAGAGAGCTTCCTAGGTTATATACATACATACGAGCTTGAAATCATGATACCATCCATTCCAATTCGATTAGTAGGCTGATTCATAAATTCATTAAACAGGTATCTGCATTCCCATGCATGCTTGTATGCACCTGTACCTGTGCGGAGCCAGTGCTGTTGGACGAGGGTTAGCATTGGCTACCCTGCTATCGTCCATAAATAGGGATAAAAGACTGTCCAAAAAGTCTACAAGACCGCCGAATTATAGCAGAAATCTAGGAAAAGATTATATCATATTCCGAGCGAGGTGAAAGACAAAACTGGGGCCCCCATTAACAAGTTACGGGGTGAACATGGGTGAATGATACACGAAATATGCAGAAGGGTCATGAGAATAGCGCCAAAAAGAGAAGAGCTTGGATACACTTTTTAACTGGAAAGTCGTAGCTCGGTCGTTTACTGCTGCTGCTTCCATTTAGGGACCCACTTGCCACCGGCGGCGGGCTTGGATTCCGAAGCGGGAGCAGGAGACTGAGGAGATTCGCGGGGTTGACGGGGCGCCCACCGCTCGGTGGGGGCCTCACGGGGCAGAGCTTCGCGGGGTTCACGGGGCTCGCGGGGAGCAGGGGGAGGGGGTGCGGATCCAGCGCTGGCGGCGGCACCGGCGCGCAGGTGAGGAGGAACGTATCCACCCTTGCGGAGAGGAGCGGGCTCTTCGCGGACGGGGGCGCGAACGGGCTCACGAGTGGGCTCCGCAGGGGCACCACCGGCTTCCTTGGCGGCTTGACGTTCTCTCCAGCTGGACGGGGCTGCGGTACGTGGGGCGATATTGAGACGGGGCGCGGTTCGTTCGAGTGGCTGTTCGAATCCACCCTTGCGAGCTGCACGGCGGGCTTCGGCTTCAGCCTCCCGCTGTGCCTGCTTCTGGGCCACCTCGTCCATTTTACTACATGGCAAGTTAGTATCAAAGTTTGAAATGAAACCAAAGCAGGGGAATACTGACGCTCGCTCTTCCTCGCGCTTGGCCTTCTCCTCGGCCAAGACACGACGGCGCTCCTCCTCGCGGGCGACACGTTCCTGCTCCTCGCGGGCGGCACGCTCCTGCTCCTCTCGCCGACGAGCTTCTTCTTCCTCGCGCTCCTGCTTTTCACGACGGCGGCGTTCCTGGACCTCCTTGACACGCTGCTTCTTCTTAGCCTCGAACTCGCGCTCGGCGGCCTTGCGGCGCTTCTCGAATTCCTCGTGACGCTTCTCAGAAACTTCTCTGCGGAAGTCGCTGAAGGCGGGAACCAGACGACCAAGACGGTGCTTGAGGGCAACAGCCTCGGCGTGCTTCTCCTTAGACTCGCGCACCTCCTCAGCGACCTGCTTCTCATAAAGCTCCCTGTCCAGCTTCTTCTGGGCATCATAATCGGCGGAGATGTGCTTCAGTTCCTCGCGACGGAAGGCACGCTCCAAGTGGTCGATACGCTTAGCAGTGGTACGGATACGGTCGTTCAACTCGTTCTTCTCCTTCTCAAGCTGAGCCAGTTTCATAGCACGCAGGCGGTTGGCATCAAGCTCGTCGAGGTCGATCTCGCTGACATCAATACCCTTAACACCAGTCTTGAGCTCCTCGAGCTGCTTCTTGAGCTCCTCCTGGCGAATGCGGTCCTGCTCATCCTTAATACGCTTGAGCTCACGGTCACGCTGCTCATCAGCCAGACGCTGTTTCTCAGCATCCTGGAGTTGCTGGGCACGGACACGCTTGCGAGTCTCCTCCTCGCGCTGCTTGCGCTGCAGAGCATCGGTAGCGGCTTCCTTCTTCTTGTCGATGAGAACGCGACGGGCGAGGGTCTCCTCGTGCTCCTGGGTGGCACCAGCAATGGCGCGTGCCTGGGCAGTCTGCTTGGCCTGGAGACGAGCCTGGTTGTAGGAGGGGTCGACGTACATGCAGGCGACGTGGAGAGTCTTGGCGAGACGGGCGACCTGGAAGCGGGCGATCTCGGCGGGGGTGTGCTGCAGGCGCTGGACAGAGCCAACCTCACTCTCAGCGGAGCCAGCGCCGCTGCCGGCGTGGGTCGCCTTGGAAGAAGAGAAGACATCGGAGTCGAAAGTCAGGACGCCCGAGATGTGATCAACGCGAATAGCGAGGTCACCCTTCTTGCAACCGTTCATGATGAACTTCTCAATCATGGCGGGGGTGATCTGGAAGGGAGCAGGGAACTGGGCAAGCTCGTAGACGAACTTGAGCTCAACGGACTCATAAACCTGGGACAGCTGCTGGAATAGACGGGTGAGAATGACCTGCTGCAAAGGCACAACGTACTTCTCCATCTCGGGGTCGGCACCAATCTGCTTCAGAATGGGGGTAATCTTCTTGCAGATGGACAGAGGGTGGAAGTCAACCTCGAGGATATTGTACAGCTCGCGGATCTCGGGGCGCACACGGCGGAGCAGACCCTTGTTCAGGGCATCACGGAAGAGCACATTACGGGTGGGCGAGGTGGCCATGCCGAGAAGGTTAGTGAGACGGGTGTTCTTGTTCTTGCGAGCCTCATCCACATCGACCAGGGCGCCACGGGAGCGGGAAGTGCTAATAACGGGGATGGACAGAGCGGAGAGAAGGACAAAGGAGGCGGCCTTGGTCATCTCGAGCTCGGTGACAGACGGGTTCTCCTTCTTGGAGCTCTGGCCGCTGGCCAGGGCCACGGAAGAAAGACGCAGAAGGTTGTAGTAGCGATTGTAAGCGGCGGCGTGGAAGAGGTAGTTCTCGCTGACAAGGAAAATGCGGGCGAGCTTCTCGTAGTAGTTGGCCATCATGATGTTCTTGGCGGGGCGCTTGCTGAGGTTCAACAAGGTGTGGATATCCTCAATGCTGCGGAAAGCCTCCTGCCACAGCTCCAACTCAACGGCAACGTTCAACTGCTGGAAGCGGGTGTCCAGGTGACGCTGCAGGGTGTCGGCGTCGCTCAGGTTGATCGCGTGCATCTGAGAAGAGTACTTGGCGGCATTCTGAACGTGGTTGCGCAGGAGCTCACACAGGCGGCGGAACTCGGTCTTGCGGGCGTACTTCTGGCAGAACTTGAAGGCCTGCAGGGCAGTCGACTGGTACATGATCTCGAGACGGGCATTGTTCTTCAGGATCTCGAGGACGGTGCGATAGGTCTCCCACAGGAATTTGAGCCAAGGAGTGACGACGGCGCGGTCGGTACGGTCGCGAGACTGCTCACCGGAGACAGTTGCGAGGAGGATGGTCTCGGGGGTCTCGATGGCCTCCAAATCCTCAATGTTGGAGGAAGGAGCAGCAGACTCGAGGGTGGACTGGATCTCGTCGGCCTTGGCCTGGGCCTCGGTAACCTTCTGCTCGGCGAGTTCGATGAACTTCTTGAGAACAATCTGTGGAGACGGAAAAAATCCTACATTAGTGACAAGTCACAAAATTTAAAATTTTTTTTCAAGGCCGATCAACACGAACCTCGATGGTGCCGACATTGGTGTTCTGAGCAATGTTCTTGTACTGGTAAAGACCATCCTTGGCGGCCTTGCCCTTGCGAAGGTCGACGGACAGTTCAACGAACAGGAGCATCACCGGCTCGAGGGAGGCGATGGGGCTGCTACGGGTGCGCTTGGAGGTGACATGTTCGTGGAGCACAGTCAAGGCCGCGGGAGCCTGACCGACGGCGATGAGTTCCTGGGCCCTCTGTGCAAGATATAGACATTAGCAACCGGTCCCTGTATGTCGCGACGACAGCGACGGCGACACTTACCTTGAGGACATTCTCAGGCTTAATATGCGGAGGGGGCGGCATGATGGGTGAATGCCCCTTGGGAAAGGATCAGAGGTGGCTGATAAGAAATTAAAAAATTGGAAAAAAAAGTTAGCTGAAGCCAGCGACACACACGGGCAGCTGGGAAGAATGCGATTAGAGATGCTGCCACGCGAATACCCGATAACGAGGGGAAGATTCACAATGTGCGTGTTGAGGCCAGAGCAAAAATTGGATCCCGCCAATGTTCCCACTTCGCGTTAAGCGATGGCGATCACGTGTTGAGGCCTGAGGCAGAAATCAAAAAGTACGAGTTGACAGCTGAGTCTACGAGGACGTGTCATATTGGATTACTGTGCATGATGGTTATACTTCTTATTGGTCGACTGAAATATCCCGAGTAAGTATGTACTAATATTATAATTCCAACTATCTCATTCCGACGCCGATGTAGTTCATAGTTAAGTGATAATCCATCAGAGTTCGAACAGCAAGTACCAGGTACATGTTCTTTATTGGTCTCCCAATATTAAACACTAGTAGTACCCCGACCATTCCAAGTATTAGGTACTTCCCCCAATAATTTCCCCCCCAATATAACGTGTACCAACGTAACGGTAAGGAAAAAGGGAAACCCACGGGCCTGCCCCCAGGGATCTCAGGAAAATCCCCTCTAAACAGCCCATTCATTTGTCCATTCTCTCTCTCATCTTCGAACCCGACTCCTTCACCTTCTTTTTCTTTTCATCTTCGTCCGGCGTCTTGGCCCCTGATCTCCCGCCCCCCTAACCTAATTCTTACGCCCTTGGAACACCTGCCGATCCAAAACCCCCCTCTCCCCCTTTCTCCATTCGCGCTTCTTTCACAGCTTAACCCTCACGATGGCTCCCTACGAACTTCGATCCGGGGGTGATGTCAAGAATAAGAAGCAGAGTGTCGCCGACTTGAAATACCGTCGCTTGACCGAGCTCAATGGTCGTCTAAAGGAGGATCTGGACCGTCCACGGGTCAAGGTCTCCGAGGCAGCTCTCTCGTCCGTCCAACCCTTTTCTTTGTTGAAAGACACAAACAACTAACACCTTCAACAGTCTCATCAGTTACTGTAACAACACTCGCGACTTTATGGTTCCGTCCGTATGGGGACAGGTATGCGACCGGCTTTTCTCATCGTCGCGCGCGCTTCGTCCAAACTAACAAATCCATTTTAGGTCGACAAGCGCGAGGATCCCTATGCCCCCCAGCAACAGGGAGGTTGCTGCACCGTCATGTAATGCACTCATGACGGGAATTTTTTGCCATGACATTTCGCTCTCCTTTTCCTTTCCTTCTACTTAATTCCGGACCCAGTCACGACACCCCTTGGACCCGAACAAAACACTACGATTACTCGCGCGGACAAAGATGTCGGCCTGAAAGAATCGTCTGCTGGCCTTGCACGAAACCTTCCACGGCTCCGGGAATCATATGAGTCCCGTTGTTGTTTTTTTTGGTCGCCCTTTCCGTCCCCAGTCCCCTTTGTCTCGGACTCCGCAGGCAGTGCACTTGACGATGCACTCATTGCGGCTTACTTCTCTGAATTTCACCATTCCCCCTTCTCGTTGTGTTTGCTAGGAATCGGCCTTCTCCTTTTTTTTTTTTTTTTTTTTTTTTCTCTTA